GAATATTCTATTTTTATTTTATTTCTATCATATTACACACTTGCGACGAAAGTGATCCAACTCGAAAAGATAAATTTTTCGAAAAAAAAAAAAACGAAAAATAGTTTCTGATCAGAATTAGACATTTTTTTTTTTCAATTAGAAATCATTGTTCGTAATATTAATCAAGATAAAATCCACAACAGAGCACATTTATACAATATTTATAGAATACATCAAGAAAACCGAGATAATTGCTTTCTATTGATTTAATTATGAAGAATACGAGTTTCATAATTGATCAAGAAATGTCTCTACAACATTCTCATAGCGATGACTTGAAAATCATATTTTTCGAATTGTGGTACATTCTTCGCTAGTGTGCAATATTATCTAATAATTATTATTTAGGCCTAAGGTAGACGAGAGATTTGCGATAAATTCACCGCCAGGTTTACGCGTCCATTTTTTTCTTGCAATTCATACGAGCGTTTTGCATTGATTTGCCATCAAGTTTTACGTTTATTTTCGTATTCAAAATGCCGCGTTTATTTTAGTGGATATACCATCTGATTGACACTAGAGTTTCCGTATGAATTGCTTCAATGTTGCAGTAGCATTATTGCATCGCACAGCTAATGAGATTTCAGAACAAAAATCATATTTCAGATTTTTTATTTATCCATATTTTGATAAATCAGTGTTTATTTAATAGATTGAAACTTTTTTAATAAATGATTACTATAATTAAATTAAATATTATAACTTTAGCAATTATTACAATAACTATTACTATACTAAATTATTATTGTTATTAAGAATGTGTTATTGTCGTCTTTTTTTCCTGTCCTACGGACAGTATGCTGTTTAGTCAATAGAAATTATAAACAGAAATTATATTTTGGGTTTCAATTATTTGTTTATACATATTTTAAAAAGTTATTGTATTTTGAATTTTTCTTATGCAGTTAATGAAATTATGAAATTTGTAAAATGAAATTTATAAAAACTTCCTAGTTTTTTCTTCTTTCTGAAAATCATACACATACTGAAAATGGTTTTTTTTTTTATAATAGATCGTCACTGAGCTGGAAAAGAAATTATCAAAAATTACGAAACAAGTAGGGGCTAATTTTTGCATTATCTTTTTCAGAATATATGTACGCATGTTTTCACCAAATCATGGAACAATTTTAAGAAGTATTTTTTAAAAAGCTCAATTAAATTGATCAGAAGCGTTCAAAAGAAAATAAAAAAAAAAAAAGAAAACAAGAAAATATTAAAACAACGAATATTTAGCTTCAATAACACAGTTTATATGACTAAAAAATGTTGTACTTTTATAAAACAGGCTAGGATAGTTGGAAAAAATTTCAACAGAAACTTTTAACTTCAGTAAAAGTATTCAAACATAGCTAATACTTGTTGGTTGATTTTAATAACATTAACTTACATTTTTAATATTCCTATAAAGCTATTAAATGCCAACGTAGAAGTTGATTTTTTTTATTTTTGTTCATTGAATAACATATTATATGCCGTGTGACGAATTTGTCGCAAACTTTATCTACATCAGGCTTTGAGTGGTTTATCTACAAGCAAATATAAGAATTTTTATTTATTTATTTTAGTAGCTAATAATCAAAACATCACAGTAAGAAGTTGCCAAGTAGCAAAGACAGAGAACATTGATCCATGCAAAACGATGGAAGGGATGTTAGCTGCCAATAATTACAAACTGGAATTTTGTGAATTGTGCACGGAGGACGCTTGCAACAGTTCGATTGCAATTTCGTCAAAAATTTCCCTTACGCTGTTATCCGTTCTTGCAGCTGTACTTCTGGGCTGTTCTTATAACAACGCGTAACCTTTATAATATATGAAGTTGCGGAGTGTTGATTGCAATCATCCTCAGAGACAGGTTACTCGTTAATCGATTCATAGCGTATTCTAAAATTTGAAAGCACACACATATACATATATATTGTTCATAAATATTCCACGTTATGCCGCGAGTATGAAATCATGTAATGAATACCTGCGGCATAAACTCATTGTAAGAACGAAAAGACAAATTTGAAAGTTTCAGTGTTGTTAGATCAATCTCTGAGAATAACGAGTAAATTATTTTTCCGTGTATCTTTTTATACAATTTTTTATTTATACTTTCCGTACGAAAAACGTCATTTCCTATTTCGTATAGTTGAAGCATAAATTGGCTAGAATAAATTGTTTAGCAAATTTTATAACATCGAATTCGAGAACTTCATGTCTGTATAGTTATATTTAATAACTAATAAAACATTATAGTGATTGTATTGATGATGGTATGTGTGTCATAAATATTGGAATGTTTATTGTATTTATTAAATTGCATTTGTGATTCAGTTCATTGAGCACGACTTTATAAGCAATACATAAATACATGTATGTTATATACTTATATTATATGAACGAAGAAGCTTAAATATAAAATTTTGGCCAATGTTTATATCATAGAACGCTATTAGCTGCACAAGATCGAATATCGTTGAAAATGATATTATTGAAAATTGTCATGAGCAATAAATACATATATATAGAGAGAGAAATATTGTATTGTCATTAAAAATTCAATTTGTAAAAAATTAAAGTTATACCAGAAAAAAATTTTTTTGAACTCCATAGAAGAATGTGGAGCAAAATGACACTAACAAGAAATGCAAAAGAAGCCAAATACAATATCCATACACCGTTTATTACAGCATTTTTAAAATAACCTTCAATTTAAAGTAAAATTACAGCAACCAAAAACTTCAATAAACTAATTGACTTCTTTAATTGAATTTTTAGGGTAAGTATATAAAAATATGTAGAGTAAGTAATAATATGTTTTTTTTATTGATGTATTTGAAAAAGAAACATAAAATTCATATAAATTAATATCTATAGATATGTTAAATAAAATGTTAAAGACTTCGATTTTCATTTTTTAGTACATCGATTACAGTAGGATGAATCATTGTACTTTTATTGTAACATTACGTTTTAAAATTAATTTTTTCTGTTCTACAAGACAAAACGTATAAATTTCACTTGACAACCAGCTTGTTAATTGGAAATATTCTCGAATTTTCAAGATAGTAGTTTTCCACTTTTTAGGATTTGTTTCATTCTTCTTTGAAGTGCTTTTATCAATGTAATTTTTTCTGCACTATTTAATTATTTAATTATTCCTCTGTATCTTGGAATTATCTTATTTCAGTATTTAGGTATTTTTTAATTCAACTACAAATTTATGAGAAAATAACTAATAAAATAGATTAAATTATTTATTTTTAATTAAAAAAAATATATATACTGATACTATGTATCGTTATTGAAAAAATTCAAAATTTGGTAATTTATAATACTCGTGACTTTTAATGCTAGTATCTTTAAACTAGACTTTTTGATATGTTTACACGTATATTGTATTATCCACAATTTTTTTTAAATAAATAATGTTTTATTCTTCAATTCACCCTTCTTTCAATTCGTCTTTTCTTAGATATATCTATTAAAAAATATGTATTGTATATAGTTCGTGAGGTTCGTTAAGCAAGTAATATTGTTTCATAAATTGATTGCGGATTAAATTCATATTTTTGTGAATGCAATTATTGAGAGGCAATAGAAATTTGTTTCATCCACTAAATATCATAGCAAATAATATATACTTTAGATATTTTATACATTTTTCATATATTTCATACATTCGGTACATTGTACAATGGATTTTTCAATTTAACATAATTGTATAAAAATCCACAGTTTATTCATAAACTATTGCATCATAAATATTTTTGAGAAAAATTTCAAAGAAACAATATTCTCAAACTGAAACTGAAACATAGATTATATAAATTTTAAGCATTGAAATTTATGGTTGTGAGCGTGGTTCTTCAAAAAGAAAATGATACCGGATATGCAGTTAAGCTTTTCATGACAGTATTTATTTTATATAATTTTCAATTAATACTATTTGTAAACATTGATTCACTTTTAATATTGTTTTTCTTTACAACAAAGCAGATAATAGTATAGTTTAATTTTGAGTGTATTTTAATATGATGTTTGTGTACTTTAATTAATAAAAAAAAGAAGAATTAAAAAATATATAACTAAAAAAGTTCTAACAATGTAATTAATTTGTAAAATTTTTAATGATACTTATTTTATGATGACTATTCAATTATTCGATTCAATAACAAACAAAATATTGTTGCTTGATAATTTTAATATTTATAAATTAGTACATGCACAAAGAGGATTGTACAATATTTCATACTCTGTTCAACATCTGCAGATGCTTGCTACAGTCAACGGATTTTATTATCATAGATAAGATAACAGGTAAAAAGATTTGCATCTTACATAGATCTCAAGGTAGAACCAACATGGCTGGACAAGTAAGCTTGCCGATAATAATCATTCTCATAAATTTGGGTAAGTAAAATCTAACTCGTAATTCTTAATATTATTTCTGGACAAGTGTTAAATTTAGATAACAGTCAATTAAATTCAGTATTATACAATTAACAAATATTAAAATAATATTAATGTAATAATATAATAAATTTTGTAAGTATTATTTGATTATTATATAAATACTAATGGAGAAAATTGGAAAAAGTCTTTTTAATATAACGAGTGAACGAAAAATTGAAAGTTCATTATAATTTAATGAATTATTATAAATAACAATATTATTTATGTCCTAAAAGATAAGAATTTTCTAAAATTATCTGATAAAAACTTTTCAATAATTTTTTTATGTGTATTGGATTAATGTTGTACATTAATGTTTTTTGTTGTAAACTAAACAAATGAACCTCCGGCTTTGCAATTGACCTTGAGGTGTCGTTCAGAACGTACCTATATATATATATATATATATATTTCCAATTCATTATGTTATGTTATCAATTCAATAAATAAATAAACTCTGACAATGTGCTTATATAATAATGTAACAAGTATACCAATTAACAGTTAGATATATTTAAGTGAAATTTACGAAGATTTAGAACAAAGTTAAGTATTTAATTTAAATTAGAAAAATAATCCATAGAATAATTCAGTGTAAATATATACATAAATCTATATGTATATTTCTGGAAATGAATCCTATTTAACAGGCACTTGTAATCAAATATATTAATATATTTGATATATTATATTATAGTAAATTCTTTCATATATGTATTTATACCGTTTAGTACTTATCTAGGCCTGCATTTATTTTCATTAATTTTCGTGAATTTTACTATAATGCATCATTACTTATTAATTTATCTATTTAGTGTGATATTTAGTATGATCTGTTTTTAATTTCTAGAAAAATGTATAAATTTACAGGAATAGAAATGATTAATTATTAAACTACGGAATATTTTTTACAGGAATAGAAATGATTAATTATTAAACTACGGAATATTTTCATTATTTTTATTAGTATAAGAGGGAAAATTTATAATTTATTTATAATTTTTTAATATGTTCTTAGTAGTACTTAGTAAGTTCTTATTATAGTTTAAAAATTTAAAAAAAAATAATACTGTATTTAATAAGAATGGCTATGATTTTTTTCAATATAACTATATATTTTTAATTATACTATATTATGGCTGTTTTCAAACTAACTAAATTTAGTGTGATAACAATATATCATGTTATAGAATATACACGTTTGAACAGACTGCTTATGAGAAAAATTTCAATCAAAAAAATAATAATGAAATTGATCACTCAACATAAGATAATTGTTTCATTTTATACGAGAAAGTGACTATACTAAAAGTGACAGAGTAACGACAGAGAAAATAGTTGGAAAAAGCGATAATTGATATTATAACTGAACAAAATAATGTTTAGTTAATTGAAATAGAAGGATATATACCAGAAATTTTATCTTATTGTTAGCATGAAATACTAGAAAGATAAAGTAAAACAGTATCATTCAATATTCAAGTTCAGACAAAACTATTGAGAATTAACACTAGCAGCAAGCGAAATTTAAAATTAGCAGTAAAAGATATGTTAAATACAAAAGTAAATATGTTACTACATAAAATAATCTGATCACTTTAGTAGTAAGAAGCATAACTGAAGCATAATAATGAAAAATTGTCCATATTTTACATTGTTACAACTTTATAAAAATTAATCTCATTTATAATGTAAAAATTATTTTGACAAAATATTTTAACATTGTATGTAAATTACATATATATTGTATATGTGCATTATACTTACATATATATCGAGAAAATAAAAATACTTTTATTCTCGAAAATTACAAAAATTTAAACGTCTCTAAAAATTTTTTTTATGGTATTATTATTATATATAATATGTAATTACATATAGAAAACATATTAAATATATTATTATTATTATTATTATTATTCAGTAATAATAATTATTAAAAAATTAATTAATTTAGAAATAAATTTAATTAATTAATTAATTATTAAAACAAGTTATTGAAAGAAAATATTGATTTTGAGATTTCAATAAATATGATCTTGAGAAAAATTGTTTTCTTTGGTATTCTTAACTATCAAAAAATAGTAGGATAATTAAGGTCAAGGATAATCAATCATATATATCATTCACAACATGTACATATATACATAGGCTTCATGCTACAGAAGCAATTCCTAGAAGTAGTAGAGATAGTAACAGTCAGCAAGATAGAATTCTGGTCAATTAACAAGGTATGTCGAGTAATTAACGAAGCAGTACTTTATTAATTTAAGCACTACTTATAATAGTATAACCTCGAGTAGAAAAAAAATAGATGTCATATCATACAGTATAAGAAAAAAGTAATTTGTAAAAATTTACAAGTTTCTTTCAAAGATTTAAAAGATTGAAAAATCGACAAAATTATTTTATGAAAGGAACAATATACATTTTCGACAAAATTATTTTATGAAAGGAACAATATTCAATTGAAATTAATGCCATTTACAATTGTGTGTAAAAATTATGATAAATATAGGTAGATACTACAATATAGAAATAGATAGAAAAATAAATTTTTGCTTTTGTTTATTTGGGTAATTTTGTAAATTATCATGAAATAAACTGAAATTATTGATTAATAGAAAATCGAAATGCGTAGAATAAATAATATATTTCCTAATAATAATATATAGGTAATAAAAATTATACATATTAACAATAATATTAACAAATAATATATACTAATAATAATATATTTATATATAACAAGTGTTCCATATCTCCCAGTGCAAATATTTTGAAAAGTACGAAACGTGAAAAATATTTGGAATAAAAGTTATAGTATCAAGCGGAACAGATTATGCTATCATTTATTTGAACTGCGAAATTTATTTACTTGCGATGACCTTGAAAAAATCTGCAAACATCGAATTTTTAAATTGATTTTTGAATTATATTTTAAAATTGAATTATATTTTTTACTGTATATTATCGTAGCTAACATCAAGACGCTTTTGTTTAAATAAAAAGAATAAATGAAATAAATAAATAATAAAATACTATCTATATCTATAAATATATTTATTTTTTGCATAGGTTTTTTCCAAGATATAAACTCTTAATTCATATATTATATGCAGTCATATATTATGTTATAATTTTAATCAATAATTAACTTATTAATTGCTTTCTGACATGATCATAAAAAAAATTTTGTCAGTCTTCATGCAATAACTTTTTTCATTAAAAATAACATGTTTCTTCTTGTCTTTTCTTAAAATATAAGTGATTATTTTCAAAAGTGATGTTTCAAAGATGATCAAAAGTAAAGTAGGTACGTATATGTAAATTCTCTTAAATCTGTAACTTGTAGAAAATAATTGTAACTGTATGTATGTAATAATATAGTAAGATATAACTATAATATTCATGAATATTTTGTGTATGGATATGATAATATGATGATTCTTTTAACATGTAATGATTTGTGATAATTAATAATTTACAATATATTTTCTTAACCTCTAGGTTTTCAATTGTTTTCACGTTTACTTTTTAATTTTAACTTTTAACTACTTTACAGAACACGTGAAAGGAGAAAACCTATGGTGTTACCAATGCAATACCAATCTAAGAAACGGGCATACAAGAGAATGTAACGATCCTTACATCCCAGCACCTTATTTCGACTTAGTTCTGTGTCCTCAAAACGAGTCGCAACATTGCCTTAAAAGCATCATCGACTGTGCGTATAAAAGTGCTTACATTTAGTGGTAAATTACTCTTGCGTGCGCCGACTTTCATTACGTAGATGCATCCTATACTTGCACATACTCATATATCTGGATATATACATATCTAACATATACATGCATATCTTATATTAATTACGTGCTTATATTAAAGTTTATTATTACATTCGTACACGTTTCTACATATTAAACAGCGAATACTTTAGTCTAAACGTTACATATATATATATATATATAACATTTGCAGATATTTATGAAATATTTATTTACGTAAATAAAGGGTGTCTTCATTTTCTTCTTTTCCTTTTTTTTCTTTTCTCTTATAAAACGAATCCAGTATTTCATGAGTAAAAATATTTATGAGAAAAAATGTTATACAAATATTATGTTTACGAAGGTTAAGAAAAAGAGAATGTTATACAAATATAGACTTAAATTTTTACGTAATATTCTATGCAAATTCGTAACAAAAATACGAAATATTAAATGGGTCTCAATATTTCAAGTGATGAATCTACGCACTAAAATAATTAAAAGACGTCTTCAATATTTTTATTTATTATTAAAAGATATTAATCATAAAATTACATAAAATTATTATCAAAAATTTAAAAAGTTTAAAACCAAATGAGAAGTATATAGGGTGGTTTGTAATTGATCGTACAATTTCATACGGAACGATTCTACGAATGTACGATACTACGAAAAAATAAGTTGAAAAAAAGGTTTCTGAGAGAATCAATTCTAAAGTTTTATCTAGTATATTGTACATTTAAGTAAGATTTGACTCATCAAATCTTGAAATATATGTTTTTATTTGTATTTATTTTTTTAGATAACAGAAAATGCACAACAAAACAAATATTCACGAGTGATAAATTTTATTATTTTGAAAATTGTCGAAAATGTTTCTCATCATGTTGAATGCAAATAGAGTTAATATAAAGTCACTAATATCTTTTCCTATTTTAAACAAACAATCAGTCACATTGTTATTTTTTAATAAAGCATTAGCGAGTCTATATTTGTATAGAATTTCTTTTATTCTTATACTCATAGAAAATGCTAGTATCTTTTTACGGAAAAACTGAAACATTCTATTTTATTGTTACGTTTTTACATCGGTAAAACGTAATCTGCGTTAATGAATGTGACAAATATTTACTAGTGGCGCCATCAATAAAGAAGTGGTCATACTGTGAACTAGAAATGGAATGTATGTATGCCTATATAAAAAACAATAAAAAATTGCATACATATTTATTATATAAATATTTTATGAAAGAAAATGATAGAAAATACTGATACGACTATTGCCACACAGTTTTATTAGATATGACGTTACGGGATTGTATGTTCGCATGTACTGTACAATTAAAAATATAAACCTACAAATCGGTGCGAGATCGCAATAACAAAAGTCTGTCGTTTGCATTGGTTTTCTTTGAAAGCAACTCAATTGAAAAATATTAATTTTTATAAATAAATGCAGAGAATTGTTTTTGAATATATGTAATGATTAGACTGTGTAAATTACTTTTTTTTTTTTTGATAAAAAAGTAGAATCTTAATAGAAAAAAAAGATTGTGAAAAGCATTATATTTTAAATATTTGATATATTTTTTTAGATTATGTAGAACTTTTTAATTTTTCGTTTTTAGTTCTAAGAAACTTAAGAAATATTTTAGATATTTTATATATTTTTTCATATTATGTGCAATTATGTACTTTAAATTTTTGCTATGAATATATAAAAATTCTACTCATAAAACAGAATCAAATTTCATTTTTGTTATCCAAGCTTAAAATATATTTGTCACATTAATTTTCATCTAATTTAGTTTCAAGTTTTTGTAATTATGTATAGTGTTACCTTGAAACTAGTGAGACTATAAAAACTATTTTTCTTAATGTAGATGGGGATGTGCTAGTGACGGTGCGAGGTTGCGTGCCGTCACGAGAAATCGACGGATATTGCCAACCAGAGGAACGTTTTTCAAAATCTAGCGTTGCATGTTCTTTCTGCAAAAATTATGCTTGTAACATTCAAAATTCTATTCACATATTCTTTTTATATAATTTAGCATTTATATTAGCTTTGATTAGTGTAATATTGTATTTACAGTAATATTTACTTTATGTCTTATTTAATCCTTAATCATTTCAATCACGAAATATTACAGTTAGGGATCGAATAACTGTCATAAATATATAGGTTATTTGTTGAACTTTTAACTTTTAAATCATTTCTTTTCTGTTTCAAGTTAACTTTATACATTAATACTTTAATTAATATTTGAAAGAGATATTGTTTCCCAAACTTTCCTATGTTTTTCATATACAAATATTTATATATATAATTTATATATTTATATAATAAAACTTCACTGATTCATGTTTCAAACTCAGACACTATAATATTTTACAGCAAATCTGCTTGTTATAATTTTTACTTTTTAGAGCAGAATAAATATAAATATAAGAAAATATAAGAAAATAAATTTGTACAAAAAAAATTTTAGTGAATGCACTATATTTGTTAAACAGTCTTCTTAACACAGAAAAGATATTAATTAGAAAATTACAATTATTTTGTTATTGAAATTTTTTTAATTTTATTTGATCCTTGCAACATATAAAATAACTGATTCTACAGATACATAAAATGTTTTAGAATTTTGAAGTTGAATGTATAGTTAAATTCGTTTTCTTCAGATTATGTAGTTATATTTGAAGAAAAAAACTTTATGTTTTAATTCTGTCCTTTTAATGCATCTAATATAAAGGGTACCCATAAATAATATCGTTTTTTGTTACTGTACAAAATTTTATTTTATTTAAGAGTTAATACAGTTTTAATCTGTAATATAATTTCTATCATTATTGACAATTTTTGCCCATCTTTCTGATTTTTGCCCAATTTTCTATTTTCTTCTTGTGAAAATGAAGGTGGTTTTGAAGTAAAATATTCTTGTGCAGTTTTAATAGCTGTCGCAGTAGAAAATTTTTTCCACGAAAAAAATGTTCCATAAATCTGAAACGATGGTAATCTGATGATGCAGCATCAGGTGAATACGATGAGTGAGGGAGTACTTCCCAGTTTAACTCCTTGATTTTTTTCTTGGGTGATTCTTTTTTGGGTGACACTATGAGGTCTTGCATTATTATGCTGGAAAATAACAATTAATCAGGCTTTGGACGTTTTTGAAACAAGATTTAGTCCATCAAGCTGAGTATAATAATATTCAGCAGTTATGATTTCATTTGGATTCAAAACCCTAGTGAATAATTCCTGTGAAATCCTACTATACTGACAGCAACAATTTTTTAAGGTGAAAACCTGGTTTTGGAATCAGCAGAAATGGTTGGCCTGGTGTCAACCATTGTTTTTTCTCTTGTGGATTGCTGTATAGAATTCATTTTTTATCTCCAGTAACAATTTGTCAAAGAAAAGATATCTGCCTAACCTGGACAGAAGTGCACTGTAGATGGTTACACATTTGAATTTTGTTTTCAATCAACTAAAAAAATTGATGAGGCACTCACATTTCTTCTCTTTGCACTTTTCAGTTGTTTTAAACATTGTTGACTAAAATAAAAGAAAAATCAAAATCATGATTTTAATTTTTCTGAATAAAAACATGGAGCATAAAATTGTTTTTTATAATTATAAAATTATCAACTACGGTCAATATATTAATTTCAAATATGTACAACTTTTATGATCAATCTTTTATTCATCGCTTTAAATATGATGAAAAAATGATTTAAGAAATAAAAAAATCAAAATGATCAAAAAATGATTAAAAAAATCGAATGTGTATTTTTTGTATATACAAATTTCAACTTCCTCACATTTTAATGTAAGCTATTTATGATATTGACGTAATTTTTAGAAAAAATACAATGAATTAATATATCTAAAAACTAAGAAGCTCAGATATCAGAAATTCAAATTATTTAAAATTTTGATTAGCATTACAATACGATTTGGTTGTCTTGATTGATTATAAAGAACACGAAAGTATTTAAACAATTAATTATTTATTATGTTGATAAGCCAGTATATTCAATGGAATCATATTTAGTATTAATTATACATATGTTTAAGACTATTCATTGATGTTTTGCTAAATAGATGTATATACGTTTGCGATAAATGACTTATACTTACTATATATACTTATACATATTTAATGTAGTTTGATATTTGTTTCACATTATAATATACATTAATCAAATTTTAAACTTTTACAAAATACATACGATTCGTAAACTCGAAAATTCATAAATTACTATGATAAATATTCAAAATTGTATTTTGTATCTGTGAATCTTTCTGTATTTGTAAATCTACCGAAGAAAAGAAAATACTCAATATTTATCGAAGATAATAAAATTTTTTTTAATATTTTGCAGATTCTTTGTTGTACAAAATATTATTTAATTTTTTCCGTTTTAAAACATACATAATACTTGTTACAAAACTTTCATTTATTTACATGCTTTGCATTATTTTGAAATAATAATCCTAATCGCAGTAGTTTATAATATTTGCTTAAAATAAGTTGTGGATTCGATTTTGGGTGTATTTCTAATGTAATTTTAATATTTAAAGTTGAACATATTTAAAACTGCTATGAGAAAGAGTAATTAATAAAACGCTGTTCAATGATAAATAATATAATAACAAATGATATTCGATCAATGTAATAATAGTGAATAATATATGTAGAACATAATCATCTTATTATAATCAAATAACAAAATTACTATAACATTAACGATAAACTTCTTTCATTATATATTTTATGTACTTATAATTTTTTATATAATTTTATAAAGAATTTTTATATAAATTTATAAAGATTTTGAAACCTTTTTTTATTTGTAAAAAAATGTTATAGAAACATACATCTATTTCCTACTCTATGAGTAAGTTATAAGCCTATAAGAAACTTTTTTCTTCAGCTTTTTATATTGTATGCATTTTGTTAATGAAAGAGAAGAAGATGTTGATTGACCGGAAAAGGCTGTTGGCTTTGAAGTCAGAAATTAAATGGTCTTATGAATGAACAGAGAGACTGTCCAGTCGATGTAACCTTTGTATCGATGATGGTAAGTTCTAACCATATAATACTTACGAAATCATGTATGCGTGGATACACACATATTTACGTATAGACGCATCTGGGTGAAGAGAAGGGGTCAAATGCTAGAGTCAATTCGGTAATATCACGCAGGGTTAAATGGTCTCCTGACCCCTGACAAGTCTTTCTTAACGAGTCGGTAAGTTCACTTTGCAATCCTATCGTTTAACATCTGTAACCAATTCGAGTATGTATTTTTTTTTTTTTTTTTTTAGATGGTTCGATAAAATTTGCTAATTTTCAATTTAACTAAAAATAAGTACTCGTCAATGTTTAAAGTTAAGCAACAAGATTGAAGTCTTTAAATTTAATTTATGGTTCCAATATATTAAGAATTTCATTTATTCTAATTAATATAATTTAATTATTGATTAGAGTTTAACCCTTAGTTGATATCGTTGGATATTGGGAGTTATAATAATTTAGGATTTTACATTACGTATAATTTGGAAATTTTTAATTTGATTTGATTTTATAACTAATTTCTATCAGAAAGAACAATGTAACATAAAATTAAATATCTTAAATTTTTGTAATATAATATAAATTACTATAGTCATCTCTGACACTAGGATACTATTTAAGGACTAACTAGATAGAACTTAATTAAACTAATTAGAATTTATTAGTATTATTTATTTATTAAACTAATAGAACTTAATTAAACTTAATTAGAATTTATTTTAATTATTACATAATATGTTACATACATAATGGTGTTTCAAAATTTTTATGGAAAGTAGCGTTGCAATAGAATTTTTGTAATTAAAATTATTATTTTTGTATTTTTCCGTGTATTGTAAATTAAGAACAAAAATCTCTTTTTTGTACGTACTGGATTCGTCAATTAACAGCATTAATGCTTTATTGCTCTCAAAGATTTAACAATAAGAAATTAATAATATTATAAGAAAATATTAAGTTTATTTAATATAATTTGTTCAGATTTTCTTTATCTCAATCAGCAAATTCTAAGCAGTTGTGTATTCCAGTTTCTATGGTAAACCTCGAAAGACCCTAGAGAGCGTTTAACAGGTTCGTAATTGTCCTAATGAGTTCAATGAGGGCCCCGAACAATGTTGTTTTCTCTTTCCTTCTCCCTCTTGCTCCTGTACCATAATTACTGTTTCGCCTGTTATGTTCTGTTAAAAGACTTCTCTGGTTGTTGTTCTTGACTCCTACTTCCTCGCGGTTGCACGATCCATGGAGGGGTTACAGGATTATTACGTACGATTACGTTATTGGGCCGGACCATGCTAACCATGTGCCCTGAGAAGCGTGGAAAAACTCGAAGAAGGGAGCGATCGAGGGAGAAGGAGACTGCGTGCATGTTGTCGACTCTCGGCAAAAAGGGGGTGTTGCCTCTTCAGTAACGAAGTGAACACGTTCCGTGACGCTACCAGTTTCTCTCTGTCTATTTCTGGACTCGTATGGTGTTGTCTTCAACGTTATTAAGCGCCCGTATTACTTATTCGGTGTCAAATAATTATCGATTAAATTGAATCGGAAACTATTTAGGTCTTAAAGATCAACATGTTCTTCAGAGTAACATGGATGTTGGTCATCTTCGGTCTGGTTGTCTTAGCACAATCCGGTAAGTTGCTTAATAACGTATGGAATAATGCATCTTCGATATTTTGATATATAAATGTTCTATATATTTACGTCATTCTTACATATTATAATTATTTAATAATCTATTGATATAGTTTAATAAATTTGTAATGCTGTCACCAGACATTGATAATGATTTATGTTATCACAATCTTAATAGCATCTAAAGTAATACATGCATAAATATTTTGGTATAAGTAAGTTAATATTCTGTATATTTGGGTTATTTTTTAATTTGTATGTATTTAATTTGTATAATTCTCTAATAATTTATTGCTGTGCTTTTGTGTTATTATTAAAAATTATCTTAGAATTTTTCAATATTTTGTTATATAAATAAGTTAATATTTCGTGTATTTATTATTGTTGTTGTAGTTTAATAAATTTGCAAGTAAAACGTGAATTAAATAATACCTATATTTAAGGGAATTAGAAGAGGAACTAGAAAAGACGTGTATAAATTATAATTTTGAAAAATAAGAAAGGAAGGATAAATGCATCAATTTTTGCAAAAAAATCTTGAGAAAATTACTGTGTTATTATCAAATGAAGTTTGTAAATTAATATTGAACAACAAAGATAATGATTATTCATAATGGTCAAAATATATATGTGGAAACCTTTATGGTAGAATTTACTTATTAAAACATTAAACTCAAGCATTACCATTTTTGTTAGCTTGCTTCTACTTACATCTTCATTATTGTTTTTTTTTGTTAACAACCCATTGTTATCGTCTTATCAGATATATTAAGTCGTCTATTGTTGCTATTTGTTTTTAATATGTCATACTATGATATTTATAGTAAAGTAAAACTGGAATAGGTGTAAAGTATAATATTAATCAGTATAAATTAATATTTATACGTGTATAATGAAACTAATATAAATTAATAAAAATAATTATTATAATATATTAAAATTAATAAAAATATTAATATAATATATTAATAATATATGCACATAAATGAAGTTATGCGTAGTATTTTATTTTATACTTTTAGTAGATGACTAAATTATTTATATATATTATTTGTATATTGTTTTATATTTACAATAGTAGATGAATAAATTATTTGTATATATAATTTGTAAATATCGATAACATAATACAAATTGTGCATAACAATTTCATATATTCCATTATTTACTGCAATACATGTATAAAAAGAAGAACAATTAACAAAACATTTCATAAAATTGGAGAAAAAGAGTCTTTCATAAAATTAGAGGAAAATAACAAAAAAAATCATTTAAATACTATAAATTAAAAGTTATGTTATAAATTCGAAAATAGTTTAAAGTTGTATTTAATTAAATGTTACACGCACAATTCATGTTTAATGTGGTAAATTTAATGTGGTAAAAGATGTGGGAAAATTTTTTAAATAATATAATTTTATAATAT